AGAGTGAAAATTTTTTCTATATTCTGAAAAAAATAGCATGAAATGTTAACTACTCTTGCAAAAGTCGCTATAATACTTATTTATACACTTTCAAAAGTCTCCTCTTCGTATGAACTTAGAAAACTGCAAGAAAACGTGGTAGTTTCGGTGCCTAGTGGAAGAGGTCGCAAAAAAGAAGCAAACCAATCTTCCTCGAGGAGAGAACGCGAAAAGCTAAAAAAAGGCCAGCTATGTAAAAGTTACTGTTTCAAAACTTGCAATATTAAATTTTTAAATATAGAATTTGCAAATCTACCATACTGCAATTTTATTTTTTTAATGGTATTAGGCTCTTATTTATCCAAATTTTCAGGTAGTAAAAAAAGATACAGTTCGGATGTGACTTGTTGTCGTAGACGTTTTTTTTTTTTAATTTACGGCTTACTTTTGTAAAATCACATAACGCTGTTTGCAAGTGGACTACTCATATATTCATTAAAAGATAATTTGTCATCCGTCTGAAATAAAATAAGTTTATATCAGAAGGATAAAATAGTATGGTGTTATTAATTCATAATTAAATAATTGTAGTTCAATGACGAAGGGGGGATCTATCCCCCCAAACGGCCCCCTGGCTACGCCACTACAAGGTGGTGTTGGCAGAAGAAAAACAAAAATTACAATAATAAATTATACGTACAATGACCGCGAGAATTGCCACTAATGTACAGCAAAAACATCATTTTGACGTTTACAACTACCGCGGCGAAATTTTATTTAAAAACTATCTTATATTGTTTAGGGCAGCGTCTTAAATACGCAATTTAGGAGCCACCCTAATATTTAACATTTGTACATAAGACAACAGTTAACTACTTTTTATTGTCGAACGCTAGCTATGTTAAAATTTCCCTCGCTTAGAAAGGCGTTCGAAAGGCTAACGTGATTAAAAAGAAAAAGAACGGATTTTACTTGTTTTCCGAACATCCAGTTGAGAAGACGTCATAGTGCCACCAAATTTCATCGCCTCATCCATATACACATATATACAAGGTAACCTGCAATTGTGCATATTAATATCTACAAGAAATAAACCAAATTTGAATTTTATCTTCTAGTACCAACTTTCTTGTGTTCCTTTTCTTACTAAAAATACATCGGTGCACCGTAAAACTGGGCTATTACCACCACTCCGCCGTGAACACCTCAAACTGTGCTCTTACCCATACATGCCCGATGACCATATATCGTTTCTTTAAAAAAATCTACCAACTTCTACCAATTTTTGGATGTAAAATCT